GAAAGGGAATTTAATTCTCTACAAATTATCTATAAACATTCCTATACCTATTTATTGTAGTTTCCCTGATATTGGAAAATTAATCAAAATCAGACATAGAATCCCAAAGCCCGTTTGTGTTTTTGTTAGCAGGCCAAGACATTTTGACAGTTCATCGTTTAATTTATTTAAATTATTATTGGTATTATTTCTACAATTAACTATGGTTGAATAACCTTTAGCTTGCTCGCTTTTATTTACCAAAAATAACCAACAGAAAAACGAATAAATGAAACAATGAAAAACAACAATTTAATAACAGAAATTAGAATGAATAACATATAAAAAAACAAAAACTTAAAATTATAAAAAAATTAAAACTGTTCGATATGCTGACCATTCACCATTAAACATTTTTCAACTTTTCTTTCGACTTCTACGATTGTGGCCCGTAGAAGTTGGTCGCCATCAATAGTACGTAGTGCACGCACCACTCTATCACGCAACTCTTGTCGTGTGTTGACCGGTGAATTGTACACTTGATTTTTTAAGTGACCCCACAAATAAAAATTCAATGGTATTAAATCTGGAGATCGTGGAGGCCATTGCCATGAATATAAAACAAATTTGAAATATCGGTGTTGAAATAATTTGCCATGATATACAATGAGTTTCACTCGTGATCAAAAGTAAGTAACAACAACAATAACACAAATATGGACCAAAAACTGTCAAAATTCCATGGCCTTCTAATAAAAAAATCAAACGTTTTCCCGCATTCCGTGCATGCTTTGATTAATTTCCCAATATCAGGGAAACTACAATAAATAGGTATAGGAATCTTTATAGATAATTTGTAGAGAATTAAATTCCCTTTTTGATAGGATAAAAAAATACGGGGCATTCCATTTAAAATTTTCGACTTTCTAGCCATTTAATATGGAGAAACTGTAATTCAATTTTTGACCACCCTGTATAAGATACTCTGATACAAGAAATGACAATCTATTTGACAACATCTGAAAAGTAATCGTGCCAATTTAGAGGTTTTTTTAATGAACGTTAACTGAGATATGGGCTTTTAAATAGCATGGTGAAATTTGCCAAAAAAAGCTTCAAATCAAAATAATTTGAAAACAAAAAATGCTAGCCCCATGCATGAACAACCCATGCTACCAAAATTTCAAACCTCTACGAATAGTGGAACCTAAAAAAGTTCTAACGAACCAGTTACGTGAGACACCCTGTATACAAAAATAATAATATAACTACAAAGTCGAGGACGCTCATCAGCGACATCGGTTCGATTAGTCAAAAGATCTTTGTGAAGTTAATTCTTCGATACTTACTGATCAATATTTCGAACATCCTCTAATTTCAATCCATCTAATTGACCATCCATCATTTCTTTCATATGTTCAGAAAGAATAGTTCGATGAACATCAAGATTTAAAGCAACCAATGCGTACAAAAGCGTAAAATAAAGGATAAAAACTGCGAATTCTTGAAAGGTTTTTGAAATTTTAAGTCGATGTGTTATTTCAGCACGTTTCCTTTTGTAACGAATTTTATCCATGGGAGTATATAAATGTGTTAAATATGGCCTTAACGAGTTAGGATTAGGAATTATTTTGCTTAAGTAAATCTTTTGCTTTTGACTTTCCTTAACGATGTTCTCGTAATTGTAGATTGTTTTCGACTTTTGAATTAAATTGAAAAAATCCATCAAACCAATGTAAAGATTTTCCATAACGGCTATGTTAATTATTAAGGCCATAAAAATGATCGTAATCCATCCAAGAGAGGCTTCTATTGAAAGTCCTATTCCCATAAAAATTACATAAACACTACTTGAAATAATTATTAAATATAAGAAAGGCCTAAAAAAGTATTTTAATTTTTATCGTAATAAAATAAAGCATAATTTATTACCAATTAAAGTATTTATTTCTTTCCGGAAATCTCTTTTTTTTATATCTATATTTACAGCCTTGCTTTCTGGTTGTATTTCGAAATAAAAACGCGAATATAATACCAATCGGAAATGTAGCAAGACTTGTATATATTGCATATTTAATTAATTTGAAAACTTTCGTGCTGCTGCTATCATAAATCGCGTCCGCAACTTCAAAGCGTGGATTACAGTTAATTAACATTGCAACAGCTGAAATCAGCGAAACATTGCAAAAAATTATGGTTACTCTTTCAATATAACCAAAAGAATCGTCATCTTTTCTTGAAAAAATATTCCAAGTGTGTTCGGCCCCAAATTTAAAACTAAATATACCCCAAAACTTTTTAAAAGTTATTTTCCTGTCAACTTTCTTGTGAACTTTATCTACTTTTACGGATACGTAGTGTTTATTGTTATTGGTCGGTGCAAAATAATTTTGTATTTCAAACATGTACCAAGTTTGTCGTTGTAAATCGCAGATCTTTATGTAATCACACCTCCTACAATTTTGTATTAATCATAAAGGTATTATGAAAATTAATTAAAAATATATTACCCGTGCGACGATAGCAACAAACCTCCCAGCAACAAACTTTTACCCGTAATTTCCTATCTACTTTCTTAGCTGATATCTTCCTTATAATTAGGGATAGCGAAAAACTAAATGCACCACTTGAAAGCTTGAATCTTTCTCTATTTAAAACCGTTTTCGTCTGCCGATAAGTTGATATTAAGATCAATAAAAAATGAAGAACACCGGTACTTAAAATAGCTCAAAATTACCAAACTTCAAGGCCTTGTGCAATTGTTACGAAACCGAATTTTAAAAAACTGTTATCACAGTCAGAAAGGGCGCTCCTTCAGCTATCTTAATCCGGGTTTTCGTCGGTCAATATCTATCGGCGTCATGCTTAAATCACCCTTAATGTCCATCCATACACACAGAAACGCTTAAATACTCTTCCTCTAAACAACTTTCTTATTTGATAGGGAGAAAACTATAGAGACATATCTATCTTATTGAAAATTTTCTGCTCTTTCTACACAGTAAAAAATGGATGTAAAAATACATTATACTACATTAAACTACAAGATTGACTTATGAAATAATACATAAATTAACAACGTAATTTTCGAAATCCAGTTAATACCAAGTAAAATGACAGGAAATCAGTATATTTACAAAATATTACATTTTTTTAATATGAATTACACAAAGCATTGTAAACTATAGGAAAAACCTGTAAATAAATGGAAAATCAAGTAAAACAATGTAAATGTATTTAATAAATTGCGAAATCATGTAATATTGTTAAAAATCACTATTACGAACATGTAAAATACGGGATGGCCCTACCACCACTTTCTGCGTTCAGTCGGTCGAATAGCGTTGCAACTACGCACAACGCGTTGACATCATTGTGCCGAGTACAGTCTAATAACGTATGAATCGTCGAACGTTATACGCGCTCTCTTATAATAATAATAATAATAAACCACTTTAATCTGTCCATTTAGTGTTTGGTTGTTTGGTGCCCTTTAGTACGTATACAGGTTATACACAAAGTTTTTGTGTTCCAAGTTTGCCGTCTGCTAAAATTGTAAAAGTTTATACTTTTTTCACTATTCTTTTAATGCTTTTATACTGTAAAACATTATAACAATTGTGGAAAAACTATTGGCTTTCATAACTTGGACATAAAACGAATTTGGATAAGTAGAACTTTCATAATGACATTCATATTTTTACATTTATTTAAGCTTAAAATTATGTAAATGTAGAGGGCTGAATAATGAATTATTACATAGCAGACGAACTACAATATTCATAGCACAAGTAATTTTACATATAAATATAGTCATTTTTACGTATTAATACGTGTACATTACCTGGGTTAAGAAGTAAAATTACATCAATCACAAACGAAAAGTACAAACATAGAAATGGAAAATGCGCTTGTTTAGATATGTATTTATTTTGCTATTACATACGTGTAACTTTTTACATGAATATCCATGGCAATAAATTACCAGTACTGGACCATGTAATTATTTTTTACTGTGTAGTGGTGTATACATTTTTGGCCAAAAACTGCTAAATTCCAACGTTTTAACCATTCTTAAACCCTGTTCGGGTCGATAACTTTCTTATATGAGCAGGAGAAAACTCTAGAACCATATCTATCTGATCGGAAATTTCCTGCTCTTTCTAGTGATGTATAACACGCGGCGATCACACGTTTGCACACGTACATTAGTAGTATAGAAACGCCGATTCTAGATAGGAAGTTGCACCACCGCACCACCGTGACGTCATCAATCCAATGTAAAAGGATAGGGAAGGGTACCAACCTATGGCGGTGGTGGAAAAAAAATAGGTTGGTATCGAAGTAACTAGATCTGGTGACTTTTAAAAAAAAAGTAACGCGCCACCTAGTGGTTGGTAGTGGAACTAAACCATTACCGACAAGGTAGACTGCTACTTTTTTAAAAAGTCACCAGGTCTAGTTACCAACCTATTTTTTCCCCCAAGAATTTGGTTGACATCCCTCCCCCCCTAACCTTTTACATTGGGGGGGATGACGTCACGGAGGTGCGGAGGTTCGACAACTTCCTGTCTAGAACCGACGTTTCTGAAAGATGGCGCGCGTTGAACGCATAAAGGCGCGCCTCACAACTTTGGCCAAAAACTGCTAAATTCACACAATTTAGCCATTCTTAAACTTTGTTCGTGTCAAGTTATACAGGATGGTCAGAAATGTGCGTCAAATTTCCGTATCTCAAAAAGTAAATTTTTTTAAATGGCAACTCTACTTTTTTCCCTCACCACCGTATTATATGCTGAAAAATCAGGAGACTTTCTGATTACATCCCATACTAGTAGAGTTACTAGTAAACATACTAGTAGACTTTAAATTTAGTTACTTTACTGTAGACTTTAAAATGCGCACACCCAATATCCGCAAAAGGTTTGAGAAAACCTTAACTGAAAAGACATGTTAAAATTTTTTAAAAACTGTGCCATTCCTTCCATCCCGCTAATTTTGACTCAACTCAATTCCAACGGCAGTTATTCCAACAAGATGGCGCGCCACCACACCTCAAGAAGCTACTAAATCAGTTTTTGACACTCAGGGAATTGTTTAAAATAATTGGTTACCATAATTACTCATGGCTACTGCTATTTTTATCATTTATATAAATTTGAAGTAATTAAAGTTTAAACTAATTTTTCTCGAAAATTTTCTCGATAGATATGGTTCTAGAGTTTTCTCCTGCTCATATAAGAAAGTTATCGACCCGAACAGGGTTTAAGAATGGCTAACACGTATGAATTTAGCAGTTTTTGGCCAAAAATGCACGTGTACAAGCGCGTGATCGCCGCGTGTTATACACCACTAGAAAGAGCAGAAAATGTTCAATAAGATAGATATGTTTCTATAGTTTTCTCCCTATCAAATAAGAAAGTTGTTTAGAGGAAGAGTATTTAAGCGTTTCTGCGTATAGGGATGGACATTAAGGGTGATTTAAGCATGACGCCGATAAATATTGACCGACGAAAACCCGGATTAAGATAGCTGAAGGAGCGCCCTTTCTGACTGTGATAACAGTTTTTTAAAATTCGGTTTCATAACAATTGCACAAGTCCTTAAAGTTTGGTAATTTTGAGCTATTTTAAGTACAGCGCGGTGTTCTTCATTTTTTATTGATCTTAATATCAACTTATCGGCAGAGATAGAGAAAGATTCAAGCTTTTAAGTGGTGCATTTAGTTTTTCGCTATCCCTAATTATAAGGAAGATATCAGCTAAGAAAGTAGATAGGAAATTACGGGTAAAAGTTTGTTGCTGGGAGGTTTATTGTTATCGTCGCACGGGTAAATATATTATATATTAATTTTACCAAGTTGGTCGAATCTGCAAACAATCAGACCATAATTCCACACTTATCAAATCACCCAGATCTTGTCGAGTTGATAAAACGAAATAGTCATCAGATCCGCATTGTAACAAGTTTTTATCGGGATCAGGATAATTTAAAACATGGGGCTAAATAAGTTAAAAAATAAGTGATGTCAAACAATGCAAGCGCACAATTATGTAAGATAAAACCTCCTACGCTCTCGGCTTAGATAGCAGACATCGTACATTACACTACTTACCCTACTCCGTGACTTTTCCCCGTATATTTTAATAACTATATTAGCTGTTGTTCCAGCATCTAATCTTCCGCTTGTTTTTACACGTACTAAATACGCGTAGTTGTGAATAGGAAGATTATCGCTCAAAAAATAAATCTGTTGCTAATTTGTATTAAAACATGATTAGAAAGAAAAAGATTATTGTTTGAAAATGAGCATCAACTTACTTCATATCGTCTTCTGAAGATAGTACACATAATCAGGAAACAATACGATCCAAATATAAAAATCATAAAAGATAATCCAAAATAAGTAGGGGAATGTTCCAGTACAATATCTAAAGTAATCAAATCCCTTCTTCTTAAATTGGGGCTAATTGCAAATGCAGCAACATTCCCGACAGAATAACACTGACAATGAACAATCGAATCAGTCGTTTTACGTCCTATAACACAACCTGAATGACTCCAACCATTGATGTTCCATTCAACACATTGTTGAGAAAGAACTGTTATACGAAATGTCGCGTTTCCAGTCGAAGCACGAAACGTTTCCTTTACGTTCCAAAGATTCGGGATGTCCGAATTATTAAATACACTAACATTCCGAATATTCCTTCGACTTTTCTTCTTCGGTTTTGGCGCCGGTAATATACCCAAATAAAACCAAACGTCGTAAGAAGCCGGTTTGATTTCAACTCGTTGATACGATCCTTTAATCGTAATTGACTTATTAAAATCTGCAAGTGTCGGTCGTTTTCCTTCGAACGTAACCAATTTTAATGGTTGGCTCATATAGCTAAATGATAAACGAAGCGTGCTTGCGCGTCTCATATCAATTCT